GAAAAAAAACAAACTAATCCTTTAAATACTGATTCTTAATCTCTTAGCCTACCTGGTGTTTGAGAGCATCTCTGTAGCTCAGGACCCTCTCGCTGGTTGGTCTGGATCTCTCTGACGGGAAAACCCCATCCTGTGAGTCCACAGTAGCAGCCTCATCGCTGGGTCTACAGGCGAGTCACAGAATAACACTGTTCAGGTCTGACAGTGATTTCCACTTTGTTTTAAAGAACATTGCCATTTAGCTGTGTCTTATTACAGTACACCACCCTACTCCTCTTACTAAAAGAACATTTAGCTGTTTCACTATGGCTACTAGCCACTTTGCCAATTTATGGGGCATTAAAAAAAAATTTCTCCTTTAAAAACACAAGCAACTGCTAAAACCATGTCCTTTCCATTAAGTTAATAATTGAAACATGCCCGTGTGCAGCCGAAGCAAATTGTCACACTGGCAGTTTGTCATTTTCCCACCCTGCTTTCCAAGCTAAAAATGCTGAAAGAGAAGAGAAGACAGTTACTGTATTGGGCGTTCAGGGAAGCTGCTTTCACTGTGCTGGCTGTGAGGACTGTGGTTACCCAACTGGCTGGGCACAGCTCCCCCTGGTGGTACACTCCAATATGACATTGGAAGGCCTGCACCAGGAACAGATAAGTGACCGTCTGGACATAAAAATGCTGCATTCTGCATATTTGCATAGCCTTCTGCAAATAAGTTCATCATGTGGAGGTACACTGTGGACAAAACTAGAGATGCACCAATTGCAATTTTCTTGGCCGATTCCATTTGTTTTTCTAAGAAATGTAATTGACAGCAGACACACATTTTTGTAACTTTTCATTCATGAAAAATTAAATTGTAATACAAAAAAAATTGTATTAAAGTTTTACATTTGTCTCTCTTTAATAGTCCAACTAAAAATGAAGTGCAATATTGGTACTTCACCAAATATAAATGGGTACAACAGGTAACAGAAACAAGAGACTGTCTATTACATCAGTCCTACTGAGCGCACAGTTCTTTATGGTGTGTAATTTGTATTTGCTGTGTTTTACCACGGGTTGGATATAGTGTACATACACATGCATTTCATGTGTAGCCAGTAATTCCCTCACTGTGTACTATTTGTCAGAGATTTGGACATAGTTTTCCCTTCTCCAAGCCGTTTCTGTAGGCTCCTCTGTGCGCTTTTGGTACAGTGAACACGCTCCCAAAACAGACATGAGCATGAACTTCACTCGAGGTGCATGCGAGATGTTATGCACTGCACACGCCAAGCTTTTGGTCTGTGCCACTGCATGCGTGACGTGGATTGTCATGCCTCTAAATCTGATCGGCATGGAATCATAAATCTTAGTGATTGGCTGCTCACTGGTCAAGACTAATCACACTGAAAACCAGCCATTTCCAATCTCCGCCAATTGATCGGTGCATCTCTAGACAAGACTGTTGCTTTACTCCTATTTAACAGATGTATTGGTGCTTACAGAAAGCTGGGTTTGGGTCAAGCAGGTTTCTGTTGCTGTAGAAGTGATGAGGCTCTGTATGCAGGCTTCTATAAGCTTCACTGAGTGTTGAAGGAGGATGTGGAGGCAACAAAGGAATTCTAGAAACAAAAAGCAGGACATCAAATGGTTAGTTGTCATGTACCTGTGTCTCATTTGCAAACCAAAAACTCGGTTGATGTTACTTTTCTGCCTGATTTGCGGTTATGTATACAGATAAGAGTATGGCCATGCTCATCTTGAGCTAAACATCAATTTCTATTGATGTCCCCCCCATCAAAAAAAAAATTCACTTTCCTGCAACCAAAACTGCCAATCAAGAGAGCCTATGTCCACAAACCTAAGAAATCGCAAGGGTAAAAATTTATGTTATACCTGGGAGTGTCCATGGCTCTGGGGAAGGATGCAGCAGAAGGCTGACTGCTGGGAGACAGACCGCCTACGCCCAGGCCCAGGGCAGAGCTGTACTCCAGCAGGGGAGACTGGAAGGCAATATGGGGCTGCTCTGGAGGAGGGGTTTCTCCAATACCAATCTTGTTGCTATTGGGTAGACCTCGGGATGACGATTCACTCCCTCCTGTTGCTGAAGGCCGAAATATCTGATGATCTTTTCTCCGGCTCAGTCCAAACTGTCTGATTCTGTCGGGCTGGTTTGCAGATTGAGACAAAACTGAATGACGAACAAATGTATTAAACACATGCCTAAAATGCATTTAACATCTCCCATTAACTTGAATTTAATCATATTTGTATTTAATTTAAAGTTTATTAATGTTTATTTGGCTGCTCTGTCGCTGGCCTTTGACTTTGACAGAAGAAACATCATTCACAGATTATTTTCTATAAATGTGGCTGGAGGGTAAAATGCTCAAAGTGGTTGGTGATTCTGGAAATTTGACTCCACCCACTGAAATAAATAAAAATTTCACCCCAACTAAATTAGTGTTGTCATGTTCCAGCTAACCTGTTTCTCAGGATCAATTGCCCCAGTTGCGGCAACTTTCAGCTCCAAATCTTTTTCCCTGCAGGAAAACAAACCCAAAAATAAATAAATAAAACATATACAGCCAATTTGCAGAGTCATACACACCTGGGATTTAATGACACTTATCCACAGGGATAGTTAGTAAGTGTGCAAGCAGAGGTTCAGGGTTTTGCTCAACAACAGATCAAGACCCTTCATAGAAACATTATCTGATACCAGGATGGTACATTATTCAAACAGAAGAAAACTGCTTGTAATAGTAGAAACTTGTGCCTCATTTACTGCTACAGCAACTGCAGGTCTCTGTGAATGTCATGTAAACACTGAGGTGTACCTCTTTTTGTTTCTGTGCTGCTCAGCTATCTGCTCCTGCAGCTCCTGTCTATAGCGCTCCTTCCTCTTCTGTAAGGCCTCATCTGTATCAGCAGCACCTGAAAGGGTTGGGATGTTATTTAAACAGTGACCACCACTTCAGATAGGTGAGGTCACATTTTAATATTTCAAATTTGTAATCCATCATTTCAGATAACTAATCAAACAACTGACAGGAACAATCCTTTAAGAAGTAACACCACAGACCATTTCTTGTATGTAAATTCTCAACAAATGCTCGATATTAAAATAACCAGATTAGTTGCAAAATGCTGAAAGGTCATTCAACCTATTATAAGGCCAGTGGCGAACTCGGCATCCTCATTTTTGGCCAGTACTCTTAATCTCCTGCCCCCTCTAGCAACATCTACAGGATCATCCTTCTTCTCCCTGCAACATCCAAATAGAACACAGAAAGAAAAAGATAAATAAGGACCAACAACACACCTGGTGTTTTATAACATACACACAAACAAAATCAAGGTCAAATTCCCCCAGTCACCTGCTATGTCTATGCTTTCTGCTTTCCATCAGCTCCAGCTCCTCTATGAAGTTCTCCTCACCCTCCGTTTCCTGGTCCACTAGCCTCTCCAGCCTGTCATGATGCCTAGAACGCAATGAAGATTGTTCCTCATCCTCCTCAGGGGAGAGGGTCTTAACTTCAGTGTAGCGCACAGCTCTGTGCAACCCCCAGTTGTCCTCTGTCAGAATGGCTGCATCCCTCTGCAAGGGGCAGTGATATTTGGGAAGAACACCTGCCTGGTCTTCAAGCAGGTGTTGCTAGAGGAAACATGATTATATTTGTTTAGTAAGGCTGTGACAATACACTTACCTCACAAGACAATATACAATACAGGATTCACAAGAATGAAGTGTGATTTAAACACTGTTTTTGCAGTCAGATTTCTTAAAATATAGTCTTTTATTCAAATGAAAGTCACAATATACAAAACAATGCAGGTGCATTTTAAATGTTTTAACTCCCCTTGTAATAAATGTCAGTTCTACTTTGAGTATGAATTATCATATGCAGTAAAAGACAATATGCAAGCAGTGTAAAAGGTTTTGCCACAAACTCAACTGACTGACTTCTCTCCTGTAGGATTTCACGAGTCTCTTCAGACCTTATAACTGCATGAACTTCTAACTGAAGCTGTGTGTGATCTTCTAGCTATTTTCACCCTCACTGCACTGGACTGGACTGGACTGGACTGGACTGGACTGGACTGGACTGGACAGTGACATCATCCAACAAAGACTCTGCATTGGTCAATCACGTGCGGGGGATTATTGGAATGTGGACATCAACGGGAATAAGACTGTTGTTTACCTTGTTAGCATGAGCGTTCACTGCTATTCACTGTTGAATTTGGGTCACAATTCATGCACCATAATGACACACCACGTGTTTTCATTAGTACTGGAGGTTAAATAGTGTTTTTTTTTTTTATCTATCAATGCTGACACACTAGTGGTAGAAATGATACTAAAGGTAGAGTAGGCTACGTTAGCAGCATGGCTAACCAAAACAACGGACTGGGCTGGAAACCTGGATGAAGCCACTCGTGTCGACTTGTCACAACATGGCTGTATCATACATGCCTACAACGCTCCCCATGCAAACCCTCATTCCTCGACCAACACAGCCCCATGTATTAAAACGGAGCAGGGAGTTGCGTTTTTGCTGGATGAATGTAAACATACGACACTTTTCTGTACTCTACTGATATCTCGAGACAGCTTTTGCCTCAATGAGAAATATCTTCACATTTTAATATTGCAAGAATTCATGGCACAAGATGCCATCGCTCCAACTGTCTAGAAAAATATGTGAAGCAATCACCAGGCACACATTGATCCATTTCAAGCTTGAATGTTGAGTTGGGTGCAACCAAAATTACAATTTATTTGGTTGATCCAAATCAATGGTCCCAGACGTTTGACAGACACCACCTGTCAGGTTCCAAACATGTACATCTGAAAGCATTTTAAAATGAATGTGTGGTTTCGTTTAGGATGACAGTGCCCCTAGCCATAGGGTACGAGGATTTATCATTCAGTCAGACACATTTACCTTGACAGACTTCCTGTTATCAAGGTGAATCAATGGTCCAGACTCTGCAGGGTCAAGGTGTTTTTTCTGCAACATAAAATGTAAATACAATTGGGAATCTTACTCTTCCTACAATAAAGAATCAAAACAGAAAGCTGTGCTAAAGCAAGGACCAATCTAGAGTTAGAATCTAAATGAGCTGGTCCCCAACACAAAGCCTGGATCATCAGATGAACAGACATGAATAGTATTATTGGTAAGTTCACACTGCAATTTATGATATTTAACTTCAACGCATGCAGCACGTCAGATTCAAGGTAAGCTGCGTATATTAATATACAGTATTTTTCCATAACACTTTGTGATTAACAACATCAAAAACAACATGTGGTTTATGCTTGGCCTCCATATTAATTATCCACTTGAAGACAAACTTTGTAAACAAAACTTGATCATACCATATTTGCTGTTACCAAGGACACCTGAACAGATTATGAGATACTGAAAGCTGCAAAGGATACACCAACTGTGTCTTAAAATGACAAAGAACTGTTGTTATTTGGAGGGGCCTTTAACAGGGGACAAGCACCTATACTGATGTAAAACGCCATTCAGACTGGAAATACCTGCATCAGTGGATCCAGGCTTGGATCACAGCTTTAGTCTGTCTTTCAGTAATGGACTGCGCACATCACACAAAACTCTCATTACAGGGAACGTTTCCAGTTACATTTACTTTAGAGTGTGATTTAGCTCAACATAACTGAGAATAAACTATTAAAAGATGGAGAACAAAATATGGAATGATCTCTTCAAGTTTGACTGCAAAAGCCAAACAACTGATTACACAGGCAAGTCCAGAACAGTCACCTGAGCCATGTAGCGCCTGTAGTCCATACGGAGCTCATGTCGCAGCCTCTGTTTCTTCCTCTCATACTCAACACCAAGAGGTAGACCCACGCTGCAACTATCCTCTGACAGAACACACCCATCAATATTTAATAGAGACACAAGGTGAAGAGTTTCATGCTAAAACAAGATCACTGACACTGTTCACATGACAACCAGACACTTCTTGGATTATTATTAATTATATGTATTTGCTCATTTTTATTAAACAAATATTGAAAAAAAAAGTGGAACATGGAGGACTGAAATGCAGCCATGTACTATACCTTTCCCCTGAGCAGCAGACTTGGGAGGGATGTTCTCCTTGACAGTTGATCCATAGACTCTGTGTGGTTTCGCCTGTCAGTGAAAAGAGAAACATGCATTAGAAAATATACTAGAGATTCAAAGTGTTTATTGTCATATGCACAATATGGAAACGCATTTCCCTGCACAACGAAATTCTTACTTTGCCGTCCACCCTGAATGCCAAGCAACACAAGTGAAATATAAGGTGGATAAACAGTAGCACAAAATCTAAGGATGTCAATTAAGTGCTGGTAAGAATTTAATCGATATTAACCGACAGTGCACAACACAAAGCCCTGCAGTGTTGACTATCCGAAAAGGTACTGTAGTTTGCTGTAGTAACCTGGTTACACCACTAGACGGTGCTTCTTGCTGGTTGAGAGTCGAACGATTGCTGCCTACCAGAGTACAAGCCTCACCAACTGTAATACCAAATGTAGCTCCTTGCCATTTAAGAAAGAAATGGTGGCAGCGGAGCTTTCTGTGCTCACACTGTTGCAGCTGTGTTGGTGAACACTCCAACCTGTAGTTTTTACTGAGTGGTTGTCTGGCAGCTGACTAGTGTAGCTGCCATCTCAGGCTCTTAGCGCAGGTTGAAGATGAGTGCCAGACAACAGACAGCAGCACTGCTTATGTTCGGGACATGCAGTCCGTGCTTCCAACAGAATCAACAAGAAAAATGTGTAACCTTATAAACAACTTTGCCCTGTTTTGAGTAGAGATGCTTCCCCCCCAGTGGCAGTACCTGTAAATGCAGAACGATTTCCTGGCCTGATAAAGTTAGCATAAAAGATAGCATGTATGCGCTTTCTCCTTATTTTGCCCCACAGTGGGGAGACATTGACTAAATGGAATCTTGTGCACATTTTCTTAATTAGATGCAGAGTTGAAAAATGTGAATGGTTATTTAAGAAGTCAAACAGTTCACAACCAATAAACACCATTCAAACACACCTTTATTTCCATGTAAGGAGGGTCTTGCTCTAAAATGACTTTATCCTCTGCGACTCTCGCCTTGTGCTCCTTGATAAAATTCTCCAGCTCGTCGTCCATCTTTATTCAGCAAAGTTCTACAGCCCGCCTGTCAAAATAAAATGTTTGCCTCCACTCATCACTACTGCATAGGAAACACACTTTAAAGCTGTGTAAATAACTAGGTTTAAAGTCATACTTTTTAATTAAAGAAGATGAGGACAATACCTAATGAGCCCAATAAAGGACTTTAGGGAGTGTTTTCAACTGTGTGCCATGGGAAGTCTAATACATAGCCTTCGGCTTTTATCTCAGCCAAACACAACAGCAGGTGATCTGAAAAATTTGCTCCCCCCCTCTCGTCTAATGAGTGCTAATCAATTCAAACACCTGAGACACTTGAATCAGCCACGTTCGTGTTTTGTATTGTTGTGCACTTCACGTAACTGATGAGTTATCTGTTAATCTGATAAGTATAAGAGATGCCAGTGTTAGGCTTTCCTATTGTTTTCAAGCAGTGCAATAAGCAAAAGTACAGTGAAATAGTGTTTGCTGTCACTCCAAGTGGTCACAGGAACCAGAGGAGCTAATGGTCCTAATTAATTAATGTCAACAATATGCAGCAGAACATAATTCAGCCAGCTCTAGGTTTAATATTGGCCTTACAGCACTTCCTCTGGGCACACAATGATTTACAGTCAAGTGGGCAATGCTACTGTATCTTTAATTTTTCGTTGTCAGGCAACCACAGTGAACGAGATAGCGTCACTTTCCTTACATATAGCGTTAAGTGCCATTATCATTTATCCTAACAACTAAGAAGTTTAACTCACTGTAGGGACGCTGCTTGTTTAGTTAGTTAAGAGTAACCTATCACAGACGCTAGCTGAGATACATTGTTAGCTTTGACTAACGTTAAAAGAAAGATAAACCTAAAGTACAGCCAATAACGACACAATTAGCAAGTTAGTAGGAAAGCTAACAACTAGCTCCTGTCTAGCTGTAGGTCTTACTGTCGTTAGAATTAAACAAAACCTACCATTTAGTGGGGTCTGAACCTGAAATTACCTGATAAGGCACTGTTAGCTAGCTCGCAAATGTTAACAGCACCTAGTCATCTGCTTTGAGCCTAACATCGCAAAAAAAAAAAAAAAAAAGTTTGTGTCAAGATATTGTAATACTTCCGGTTTCATGTGTCAAATAAAACCCCGTATGAGAAAACGCTGCAATAGCTAATTCCATAGCTGAGACTCCGAGATTATTGTTGTAGAATTCAGAAAAGCTGAAAGCCCAACGTTATGCACACAGGAGCACTGAGTCACCTCAAATTATAGAGTGGGTCGTTTCCTAACCGGAGGATTATCGGTTCGATTCCCGGTTTGTCCAGTCAACATGTCGAAGTGTTCTTGAGCAAGACACTGTACCCCCAGTTGCACCCGGTGATGTCACCGGTGTGCGAATGGGTGAATGGCCAAATAGTGTGAAAGCGCTTTGAGTGTGCTGTAAAAGCATAGAAAAGCGCTATACAAATATAAGACCATTTACTTAAGAAACACAATAGTATTTCATAATGCAGTAAAAAGTCTGGACTATCAGTTTATGTTCTTTAAAATGTGCCCTCCTGTTTTGGAGGAAACATTTCATGGCAATGTTGCAGGCTCCTGTATCATATTGTGGCCTATCCTATGATTCCCATCCATATGTCTGAACCCATGTTGTATCGACATGTGTTCCCCCTGTTTAAAACTGCGTTTACTGTAGCGCCCAATCTCGTTGGTAAAGGGTTAGGTTTTGGGTTCGGGTTAAGATATACACCTACACCTGTAAATGATTCATGTTAAATCTTAGATGCTTTACACATGGGCGGACTCATATAGGCTACTATGATGCAAAACACGGCTGCAGTATCCTACCCAGTTCTACATGCAGACAGAAGCAGAAACCAGCCAGTGCTGCTGAGCTGAACTATATCTGACTCCATTGCTCTGTAATGGGGGTTAATGCTACCCTTCTGCCATTAGCGACACAGCTTCTGCTCTTATTTTGAAGGAAAAGTACAACAGTTCCTGTCGATTGACTTACTCTCTCTAACTTAACACATCGCAGCTCAGCTGTGTAGAGTAGCTTGTAGTCGAACCGCTTAATAAGTAGCCACAAGGGCGGGAAAGCCCTTTTAAATTCAGACACAGGAGGGAGCTGAAAAGCAGTGTTGAGGGGTAGCGAACGACATGTAATTAAACTGGTAGTTTAACTACATTTTGCAGTAACTTGCTGGTAGTTCATCTACATTCGTAGTTGTATAGTGACTGAAATAGTTAAATTACATTTTTTGCTATTTTTTGTGTAGTTAGCTACATCAACTACAAATAATTTTAGGTCATAAAAGCAAAGGAATGAATTTTTGTTTTTATTTTACCATTGTTTCTCTACCCCTAACCACCTTTTGGATAAGAACTCAGATTCTGCTCTGAGTAGTTAAACATGGGCCCATTTAGACCAGTGTTCATGCTGAAAGGTGTAAGTTCAAGACTGTTTTAGTTAAGTTTGTACAAGTCAGATCCTGCAAAACTGACAAGTGACACAACAGGCTCATCTTTTTTTTTAGACAGGAGCTAAAGTCACTGAAATGGTCAAGGTGCACTTAAATCAGTTTCATTTAGGACAGGTCTTTTGTCTCAGGTAAATAAACTCAAATGAGTGGCATTTTTATGTTGTAGTTTTGTATCACATGTACATTGTTGAATTTTTTTTTTTTACAAAATAGTTTGAACTTTAAGTATTGTAATTTTAGTTTACCAAACAGTATTTCTCTCTAGCATAGTTCTGCTGTAGTATAACTTCTTCCAGTCTGAAGTAATTGATAGTTTGCAAAGGTAAATTTTCAAAGTAGTCTCCCCAGCACTGCTGACAGAATGCTGGTCTTCAATATGGTAATTTCAGGAAAGCAGCGTTAGTGGTAATTGTTGAGGACGAACTATCTCAGGATGATCCACATATCATTCCGGACAACACCATTCTAGTAAGCTGGACACTCCTACAAATAACAAATATGATTTTATTATTGTACCAAAGAGCCTAAATAGGCCCTGTGATTTCATATTGACCTATTTCATTCATTCATAATTTTACATAATCAAGGTCAATGAACTGTCAAGCCCAACATATTTCCAAGTAATATTCAAATACAACCAAAAGTTATTTACTGGGAGCACACCCTCACAACACAGGCAGCCACACACTTGAGACTCAACACTCCATTTGGGGAAAGAAAGTGGGTCATAAATAAGTACTTTGTAGGAGAAAGTCACTAAAGGTAAAGGTACAACCCCAAATCAGAAAAAGTTGGGACGGTATGTAAAATCAAAATTAAAGCTGACAATAGTGATTTGTAAATCGTCTGTATCGTGTCCTGTATTGAAAACAATACTGCAGAACATTATTTGATGTGATACCTCATCAACTTCGTTCTTTGTTCAAAATAAACTCTCACTTCAATTCTGATGCCTGCAACACATTGCAAAAAAGTTGGGACAGTAAAGCGTTTACCACGGTGTGATGTTGTCATTCTTTTTCATAACACTTAAATAACAGAGACTGAGGACACCAAGTGATTTCATGTGGCAGATGTCATTTTGTCCCGTTCTTCCTGCAAACAAGTCTTAAAGTGCATAACAGGTCTGGGTCTTTGTTGGCACAATTTGTTTCCAAATGCACCACACATTCTTTACTGGGGACAGGTCGAGACTGCAGACAGGCCAGTCCAACACTCACACTCTTTTCCTCCACAGCCAGGCCCTGGTAATGTTCAGTATGAGGTTTTGCATTGTCTTGTTGAAATATGCATGGCCATCCCTGGAAAAGACGTTGTCTTGAAGGCAGCATATGTTGGTCCAAGATCTCTGTGTTTTTCACCATTAATGCAGCCATCACACAAGTAGAAGTTACCTTTTCCATGGGTGCCGACACAACCCCAGAACATGACAGACCCTGGCTTTTGGACTTGTTGCTGGTGACAGTCTGGATGGTTCTTTTCATCTTTGGTCTAGAGCACATGGCATCCATTCCTTCCCAAAAACACCTGAAATACTGATTCATCTGACCACAGTACACATTTCCACTGTCTGATGGTCAGTCCCAGATGCAGCTCAGGACACTGTTGACATAGGGCTTCCTTTTGGCGCAGTAGTTTTAAGCATCAGTTATGGATGTAACTGCGCACTATAGTGCTTGACACAGGTGTGCTAAAGTAATCCTGAGCCCATGTGGTTGTATCGCTTATAAAAGAATGATTCTTGATGGAGTGTCATCTGTGGGATCAGAGAACACGGTCATCCAGCTTAAGTTTGTGTCCTTTACACACTGAAATCCCTCCAGATTCCTTGAATCTTTTAATTATGTTATGCCCCGTAGAGGATGACATATCCAAATGCCTTCCTGTCTTTCTTTGAGGAACATTGTTTTTAAACATTTCAATAATTTTCTCACACATATGTTGTCAAACTGGCGGTCCTCAGCCCATCATTGCTCCTAAAGGGCTCAGCCTTTCCTGGATGCCACTTTTGTACCAAATCATGATGCAGTCACTGCTGACATCACCTGTTTCAAATGGAATCATCATTTCTTTATTTTACCTCATTACTGGGTCCCAACTTTTTCTGGAATGTGTTGCAGACATCAGAAATGAAGTGTTTACTTTGAACAAAGAATGATTTTACATACCATCCCAACTTTTTCTGATTTGGGGTTGTAATGCTGACTACTGATATTCCTACACACAGAAAATAATAATGCTGAGGAATTTATTTTTATAAAAAAATTTAACCCCCACCCCCATTTTGCAGGTACAAAGACCATTTAAAAAAAAATGCCACATCAACATTTTGTTTGCAATTTATTGCTTATATAAAGGCTTTCTAAACTATTTTTGGTAAAAATAAAATCAATCAATAATCATAAATAAAATCATCACAATGACTTTTACATGACATTATATTGCACAATTATAAGCCTTAACATGAATCACAAAACACAAGTGCTGTGCTCAGGTTGTGTATAGGTGGAATGTTCAGAGGTCCATGGGCTTGGACACACCCTGGCTGCCTTTAAAGGGCAACAGAAAATCTGAACTTCAGCTGTCTCTGCTACATTTAATCAAAGTATGTAGATTATCAGCTCTTGAAACTGATGACCAAACATCAAGTTGTTTACTTCCGTATACTGTTACCCTGTCTTGTAATCTATAGACCCTAATGATTTACACAGGAACAAAGGATTTCACTTCAGTTTGTTGTGGTACAGATCTGATTTTTCAGTGCTAAGAAAACAACTGCAAATGAGGATCACTTAGTTTCAAAAACAACAGTTTGGTCTTGTGTGAATGTGGACTTAGTGGTACAGATGTGATCAGACTGCATGTGGTTTCTCTTCGTCCAGACAGGTAAGTTTATATCTGTACCACAACAAAGTCTGACATCTGCCCCTTTCAGTCTGGTGTCGGCCCAAATTTTCATCAGTTTCACAGCAAAGTTCTACCAACAGAATCAGCACATGTCTCAGCTCTGACCAACACAGCTGCCTTCTCTCTGAGCTTGAACAAAAAGGCCAGAATCTCCATCTAGTTTGGCAGTTTACAACTGGTCAGCTACAGAAAGGCCTGGAAGATGAACCAGCAGAGCCTTAGTTTCGTGTGTGTGTGTGCACACGCGCATGTGAGGTCAGATAATGTCCATCTCCATGCTGAGTTCAGGACACAGTTCCTTGAGTAGCATTTCCATCATCACCTACCAAAGAGAGTGATACAAAGCAATGTGAAGTTTGCAGATGCTGTTACATTTTGCATAATGAATTCTGTGAAGTCTGTTATGACAAAGACACAGTTTGACATTTGATGAATTGTTCTTACATAGAGAAGATGTTTGTTGGCACTAGCCTCCTGCAGGGCATTGAAGATCTTAATTATTCCATAGCGGGCATTCTGCTGGCCAACTAGATTTGCTAATGCATCTGAAAGCAAAAATGAATCATGTTCAAAATGTTCAGAAGCTTATGATCTATAGGTTTACTTGTGTTTCAGTTGGTACCTGGGATGTTGTCAAGTAGTTTCTGTTGAGCCCGTTCCTTAGTTTCACTGCGCTCTGAGTCGGTTTGGACCTTGACATGTTGTGCCAGCTTGCCATTGGGCCAGAAGGTGTCCCTGAACACACTGATGTAACACACCAACATCTGTTCACAGAAAATCCAGTTGACGGTGTCCCGGATCTGTCTAAAATAAAGCATAGAACGTGTTGGCTTCATAGCTGATCTCACTAAAATATGCAGGTAATTACATGTGACCACATACATCTCTAGCATTACAAAATAGGTTTACAAAACACAGGACCATGCTCAGTGGAGATTCGGTCTAAAAAACTCCAATAAATTAATAGATAGAATAGATGGAAGGCTGTTTCTTGCCTTTTAAAAATACACCTGCTTGCAGTAACATCACCACAACCACAAATCTAAAGCCAACTCTCACCAAATACAGTAATCAAGAAGAGGCACCATGAATGAATGCAACAAAGGCAATTCTACAACATCGAATTATATTCTATTATTACATTACATGGGTTGAACAGAAATAAGTTCTAATAATTTACATGTTGGTTGTTATTTATTCTGCATTAATATTTCTGAAAAAGTTAATTAAAATGTAACTTGCTACTACTTACTTGTTGATAGTTCGTCCAAATGTCACCTGGACTAGTGCAATTAGAGTCTTCCTCACCCACTTAAACACTGAGCAGGTAGACGGACACAGATTGATCAGAAAATCCAAAAGTTAGAATCCATACATTCACAAAGAGACAGGACTTGGCTAACTAACTTTGCTAGCTGACCCCTGTCTTATTCATATCAGAAGTCTTGTACTTGAATATAAAAATGGAAAAGGAAACTGACTTCCTCTGAGTTCAAAGATCTCTCCTATGAGCCTGAAGCAGGGTTCAGCCAGTGCGTCTTTCCTCCCATCTACCTCGTCGCCATAGTCAGACAAGTCACTGTCATCGTCAGCGTCCTCCTACACACAGAAATTACACAAAGCAAATGCATAATCCGACTGGAGATGCAAGACAGCTGGAGTGCCAAGACATCCCAGAGGGAAGTGTTGATTTAGCAGTCGTGAATGAGTGGGCACCTCAGTGTGGGAAAAGAAATCTCCAGGTAGCCTCTCCAGGAAGGAGGCCAGAGAGAAAGATGATTTCTTCTGGATTGACATCACCTTCAAGCATTGAACAAGTTATCATCAGTATACAATACACTGTATAGAAAGGCAATTGACAAGAGAGTTTGCATGAGAACAAATTATCAAATTTTAATCCATAAAAAAATTTATTGAAGACATAAATAGTGTGACAGCTCTGTGCAATTATGCATTGTGTGTATAGGTCACTGAACGACATTATGACAATACTACATAAGTAGCCCAGTGTTATTTGTAATGACAGTATGACAATGTGTTACCTTGAGGTGCTCTGGTGATGGGCTGAGGAAGGCATAGAGAGCTTCTGACTGGCACAATCGCTCATCTGTCAGCAAACGCTACAAACACATGCACAATGCTGAAGTCATGATCTACACTGTTTCACAGCTAAACCAGAAGGAGGCAGTGTGAGCACAGCTAGGTGGTTGCTCTCTAGGCTAGAATAATGATTCCCATCCAGTTCTACGTCTACCCCAGAGGATACACCTCAAGTTGCCAGAGGCTACATGAAGAGATTGTAGAGTGGTCAATTTAAAAGAAAAAACATTTATTTTAAAATGTATATCAACATACTGAGTCAGGTGCAACACTGCATGAAAACTAATTATCAGGTAAAGAGAGCTACAAATGGTTGAAACAGAAAGTTGAAATACCTATAGTTCAAAGTAATGGCTACAGGGCTGAACTAGTGCATTCTCTAAGCACTGAAGTTATCCTCTAGTTAAGTTGTAAAATGTTAAACAAATGTAAAACAGCTGTACATTTTGTACTTTGTGCTTGTTTACCTGGAGAAAGGCATTGAGCTGAGTTTTGCTCTTGTCTAAAAACTTCTGGTCAATAGATTTGAAGGGAAGTTTACTGAGGGAGGGCAACTGGAGTTTCTTCAATGATGAAAAACACTGGGAAGGAGAGACAGGTATAGTTTAATAAGTGACCAAAATGGAAGGTATACCGCATTACTGCCAAAACTGACTGCTTTCTTTAACAGATACTTTACTGTCATTGCTTTTGCAGATCAATTTAAGACCACACACTGCAGTAACAACTATAGAGCATCTACAGTAGATGTACTGACTAAAAGGAGGCATACCTCGAGATCTCACTGCCACGAGAGGTAATCAATGTAGGTGATACAGTGAACTCATTTAATCAGAGGGCGACTGGGAATACTTCAAACGCACACCAGTTTCTGCTTGATATGGTGCATAATATTCAATAAATCAATAGAAAAATCTGCTGCAGTGCCATATATGGAGTTAACACACTGCAGTCACATACTGTTTACTGTGAAAAGCAAGCCAACTAGTGGGAATGCAGTGTACATGCAGCCATGAAGTACAGTGATAACTGCTTACTGGGGAAAAAGCATAACTATACATGGGCAGGTTTTGGTTCTGTAGTACCTCAGTGAGTTTGCGGTGCAACATCTGGAATTCAGTGAGTTTTCTCTGGACACTCCAGCGACTGTTGGCTGTCTCCTCTCTTTCCAGCAAGCTGACACACACACTGTAGCAAGCGACAGTTTCGCCACCTTCCTCTGTAGCCTGACACACAAATGCACATATTTAAACACAACTGTCTTATTGACTACACAGCTAATAAAAGCTAGTTATCTAGTATTAAATTAACAGGCATCCATTTCTTTTTTCACCCCAGACACTGGTTGAGCGATGTCTTCAGATTTTCGGGTTACATGATACTTTATTTTGCTTTGTATACATGTTAGTATTTATTCAGCACTAATGGCCTTTTTTTGGGGCCATCTCTAGTAAGCAGGCAGTAACCAACCAGTGTGTGACCAACTAATCTTTTAATGTTTTATACTTGAAATTCATGCATGTTGTGCTCCAGATGATTACAGTCTGATCAATCAAAAAGCATGCAGATGCCAGGTGGTAAGGTGGATTAAAGATATTACCTCAGCAGTAATGATGGCAGCTCTCCAGTGCCCCAGGTTTTCACACCACAAGTCAGTCCTGATGATATGTTGCTGGAGTTCACTGTGTTCTCTCTCCATGACTCCAATCTCTTCCTTTAGTTGGCTCACTATCTGCAAGTACACACAGGAGGCACATTTAAAACCACAAACCAGAATTAAATGAAGAAATTACATGTAAGTTCAAAGAGAGATTTGTATTGAGTGCTATAAATGTTCTCTTATGTGTTACCTGAATTAAAAAAACACAAGATATATACACTACCAATGTACAAGAGCAGCTTTTAACCAAATCAGACATTCACTAAAGTAATCGGGTTACTCAGAGAAACCACTGAAAGCAGAAAGAGGTTGTTTGGGTGTGCCCGCAACTGGAAAGCCTGATGTCATTATGAGAGTGCATCCTCTCATAAACAAAGATGGACCATGCCGACCAAGCTTGTATTTTGATCTCTTAGTGATGTTTCACCTGCAAATCACAACATTAGCTGCCCCATTAGCCGCACTGCCATGTTGATAATCGTCTGTTTATGCTGGTGCCAACTTCCTTTGTTCCCAGGCACATGTGCACAAGTGACCTTGGAACTTGTCTTTTGTACATATGCTCTTGTAGAAAGCTGATTAGAAACCTGGTTACATGTATACATGGCAGAAAAATCTGTATTCTCCTGGAGAAATCTGCTTGGGGAATTCAGGTTTCCCTAATCCCCCACCCCAATTACAGAAACCAGGTATCCCGTTTACATGACGACAGGTAAGAAATCAGCTTACTCAAGAAAGCCAAATGTAACCTGGTTACTTAAGTGCATAAATGCAGTCACGTAGGTAGCATCTTGACACTGCAGACAAGTTCATGGCATCATGCTGGATACGTCTGGATGTGCATGTTTACTGCTTTTCATAAGTTTATTGCAATCCTACTGTGAACTGTTGGAATGAACTGTGTAGTGGCCCCAAAGTGCGTTTTGTTCCACTCGCTTGCCTTGTTACCTTTTTGTCTGGTTTTGGTGCATTCTGGATAGAGCCCAGGGCCTGTCGCTTGTACTCCAGTTTGTCGTAGAGTTGGCAGAGTTTAGTAGCAGCATAGCTGGCCTGCTCATTGATTCCTTTACTGCCTTCATCACTCACCTCCTCTCCTGCATCTAGACCCTGGCACTACACATTTAGAAAGATGTGATTACAGCAGTACGACTGCAAACGTACAAAGGAAGTGAATAAAAATGACAAAATTGAGTATCAAATAGAACAACATTTAGAAATGTGTGTTATTCATTACTATGTGCGTCTCACCACTTCCTCCTCCTTCTCCTCAGTGCTACACTGTGATTGGCTGTGCTGCTCATCTCGCCTGATCAGCCTGTCATAGAGGTCAGAAACCAAGAAGGAGGGGTAGTAGCGTTCTCTCATGGTTTCAGCCACCTAGAAAGTGTGTGACAGCCACACAAGTGTTTGTCATTGCAGACCATATTTTAACCTTGGCACTGTCAAATATAATAATATCATACATCAGTATGTCCTACTCTTGTGCGTGCCTATCCATTTATGTGACTGCATTCAGTTCAGATTTGTGCTGTGTTAAAAGTAATACGTAAATGTTACTTGGTCTGACCTAGTAAGACTGCCGTCGCAACTTTTAAGGAAACATGATGCGGGTGCCAACTCAGACATGAGGCCAATACATTCAGATGCCGTCAGATTAATGGAAGAGAGTGCATATCTTAAAGGGGCTTCAGCAGGGGTAAGTTTATACCGGAATAAGTTGGCTCCAGCAGCTCTTAAATTGTGACCAGCATCTATTTTGACAGACCCGGTACCTCATTTACATATGAAAGAAATTGAACATATGTATATTATATAAAAACTCCAAAGTCTAATACTTTTGGTACCACTAGCTTTTTTACAGTAGATTAAAACTGGAATAATTAAATACAAATAAAAAACAACAACAACAGGTAGTTAGGCTAATTACGTTGCAATGTAACCAGCCCAAGTAGGTCACCCTGACTCAGGTGCACATTCAGTGGAACCTTATGTTAGCTACGGATCGAAAATGTGAAAAAGACAGGCAAATTTGCTAAAGTATTTCATGTCACAGCAGAACAAAGCTAGTCAGAAGCTAACAGGCCTACAGCTGTTAATGAAAAGGTTATGATGATGAGATCATGGACTCCTGCCCCATGACCACGTTATGGGCTGTTTTTAATAACTGAAGGTAAGAACATGTTTATTTAATGTTGCTGCATTATAGTCTCTGGTGTGCTTTAAATTTGTTGCTGTAATATTCTGAATAAAATGTTAATGTGTAGTAAGGCCCCAAATACGTCAGGCTTTTTCTTATTTGAACAGATTCGCAGTCCTAATGTATTTAGCATCACTCGCGCTCAACATTTATAACTGACACTTGTAAATGTGAGTTTATGTGATTTATGTATTTATTTACTTACTTGGCTGCTACAAATGACATTTTGCATTAAGTTGCCGTGGAAACTACGCAAAAGCACCGGTCACTGAGGACATTTTTTTCATTCCGGGACATCATCTCCCCACACTGACACGCCATAGCAAAAGCAGAAGTTACCTGTTCCTGTAGTCTAACAAAGACTTGTGTTCCCCTGTTCCCCACCAGACTCTGTTGAATCTCCTTGAGAAGAAACTTGTCTACTGGAATCTCTCTGCTCTCCACAAAGAACTTCTGGTAGATTTCTCCAACTATCTGGGGCACTTCACTCTGTCAAACACACATTAATATACCACTTACTCAGGAGCTTTATTCAAGGCAACAATGTGCTGTACTATCATTAATGTAATAGTACAGAAATAGTCTGTAGTTAACTAGTAATACTGCAAGTGTGAATGATAATGTGTTCTCAACATACAAAACCGAAAAGGAAATCACTATTTTTTCCTACCATCATAAAACACCAACCAAGGTACAGCACACTACATCTGTACAGAATGTCATTCATTGTGTATACTGGTAGCCATGTTGATCTACATCCACTGGAATGTATGTATAGGTCACCTTGTTGGCAGTTTTCAATGTTTCCACCAGTTCCCAGAAGCTAATCAGAACTCTCTTATCGATTCTCTCCATGTAAACTCTGAAATGCTCCCTGTAACCTGGATTACACATGATGTCATCAAACTGAAGAATCTGGATGTGGGGGGAGAGAGAAGAATACAACACACAACCATGAAGTGCTTTAATCCAAAGCACAAACCCTCAACCAAAGCCTATGTTTTATCACATTTATGAAAAAGATATACCAATTTCAATATTCGAAGAAAAAAAAAAAAAACTGACAACTTCTATCATTTGGCAACTTGACACGAATCTGTGTAATGATTCTTTCCAGCCCAAGACCCCACCAGCTGCCTCACAGTCCACATCATAAGAGTCTCACCTTCTGACTCTGAGGCTCATCGTTGTCATCAGCCCCTCCTTCCTCACTGTTTTCATAATTTGGTCCACCAAGTAGGCGGATCCGTTTCTCACACTGTTTCTTAGCAACAGTTAGCTGATTGATGTATCGCTTCATATCTCTGGCCCTCAGCAGGTCTGCCTTCATGGCGGCTGACTCTTTACCTTTTCGCTCTAACAGAGAAACAAGCAGTTTTTGGGGGGGGGGACAGCTTTGGTCACACAATAATACATAACACAATTACCTGGCGCAGAGCCACTGAACCACCAAGATTACATTTCTCAATATTTCTAAGCTTGTAATTAATATGTTCAGCTTCATTTTTATAGTAATTTTAAAAAATGAATAGGTTATGAATAAATAGTGGATAGCAAAAAATTCAATCCATTCATGCTGATTTTTCTATATGTGAATATATTACACTCGTCATTTGTGTAGCCCAAAACCACCTGGAAAGAATCAGCATAACACATGCAATCCACTTTTTCTGTAACTGGTTTAAAAGGGTTCAATTAGTAAATCAGTCTACCTCTTGTTCAAAAATAAATTCAAATGAGGAAAAAAAAAAAACTAAGACAGCTACGACATTTTATAAAGCTAATACTCAGAAAACAAATCTAACAGCAAGGAAAATACTGTGATTGAAAAACATAATCTGAGAACAAGAAACAAGAGTGACCAAGGGCTAGGTCATAAAATATGGAGTTAATCATCTTGACTTTACTGATACAATGACCAATATTCACTCACAGGAATGCATTTGTTTTTACATGTCACCTGATTCAGTCTCATTATCAGTTCTTGGCCTTTAACCTAGTGTGGCAAGAAGCAGAGCTCTGTGCCAACAGATCACCTCGACTGACACAGCTAAAAGGTAAGAGCAAATCAGCTAGCTGGATCTGAAGTTGTTTTGGCAAATACCACTACTTTTACTTTACTACATTGTAAAGGTTTTAAGAAACATTTCATTGATTAATGCAGCCTTTCAGTCATACCATGCACTGCTGTGTGTTTATACCTTTCTGCTTCTTGAGCTGAGGCAGGCTGCTGATGGTGGTGGCATGAATGATCTCTACCACTATCTGATACCTACAAAGAAAGATAGATAGTTGTGGTCAACTGATAAAATCAAAATGGGCTATCTTGTCTGAATAAAAAGAATACATCTAAAGTATGTGAGATATAAATATAGTGTGATATTTCAACATGGTAAAATAGTACATGCACAGTATTAAGAATGAGTCCATTTTCTCAATAAAACCAGCATTATATCTGTATCATGTCTACGCTGAATTTAGATTTAGCATACTGCTGCAGACACACCGTCTGTTCCCATAGTAACCCCACAGCAGGAACCAGACTAGGTATTATCACTGTCTGGTTAACATGTTTATCCATATATACACAGTATAGTTCATGTGAGTCTATAAATGTACTGGACCTTTTCAGGTTAATAAGGCAGAACAGGTACATACAGTATAAATCAGAATGTCATGCCTGAGTTGTTTGAGGAAATTGACATCAGCAGAAGATGATATCAGTTTGATAAAGTCTTCATAGGAGGCAGCGTAGGTGTAGGCTTTGTTCTGCTGCTCAGCTTGCTGCTCCCTCTGCTCCAGCTGAGACAGCAGCATCCTGTTTATGGAGTCTGGATCGCTAAGCACATCTACTAAAGGCTTCAACACTGGACACAAAGATATAAAGAGAATGTAGAGATGCAAGAGTCAGCTGAATGCAGTTAACTGAGCCAGAATAACTGAAAACCTCTTGAAATGCTGTTCTGACCAATAAAACTGATTGTCATCATCAGCAAGCTCAGAAGAATCTGAGTGATGCAGCAGGACAATGACCTTAAACATCACCAGAACTCAACCACTATGGCTACAGAATGGATTCAGAGACAAAATCCAAGTGGCCCAGTCAGAGCCTAGACCTCAACCCCATAGAGATGCTGTGGAATGACCTCAAGAGAGCCATTCACAACAGACGTCCCAAGAATATGCCTGAGCTGAAGCAGATCTGTAGGAAAAACAGTCCAAAATTCCTCCTGTGCAGGTCTAATCCACAGCTACAGGAAGCGCTTGCTTGAGGTTATTGCTGCCAAAGGTGGTTCAACCAGTTATTAAAATACCACCATCACATTTTCGAGTGTGATGAGATCTCATGTCACAAGATCTTGCACTATTAAAACATGACAATATTTCTTGTCAAGGCAAAAGCTGTCTCGCAACATCAGTACATAACAAAACGAGGCCAGTATGACAGAGTGTGGTGATGCGTTCACATTAGTGCGGCAAAAACGCAACTCCCTGTGCGTTTTAATGCAAGGGACTGCATTGGTTGGGGTGTGAGGGGTTGCGAGAGAAACCTAAGAGCAACTAGATATCAAGATAATGCATTATATATATATATATATACACACACACACACAGTGCCTTGCGAAAGTATTCGGCCCCCTTGAACTTTGCGACCTTTTGCCACATTTCAGGCTTCAAACATAAAGATATAAAACTGTAATTTTTTGTGAAGAATCAACAACAAGTGGGACACAATCATGAAGTGGAACGAAATTTATTGGATATTTCAAACGTTTTTAACAAATAAAAAACTGAAAAATTGGGCGTGCAAAATTATTCAACCCCCTTAAGTTAATACGTTGTAGCGCCACCTTTTGCTGCGATTACAGCTGTAAATCGCTTGGGGTATGTCTCTATCAGTTTTGCACATCGAGAGACTGAAATTTTTGCCCATGCCTCCTTGCAAAACAGCTCGAGCTCAGTGAGGTTGGATGGAGAGCATTTGTGAACAGCAGTTTTCAGTTCTTTCCACAGATTCTCGAATGGATTCAGGTCTGGACTTTGACTTGACCATTCTAACACCTGGATATGTTTATTTGTGAACCATTCCATTGTAGATTTTGCCTTATGTTTTGGATCATTGTCTTGTTGGAAGACAAATCTCCATCCCAGTCTCAGGTCTTTTGCAGACGCCATCAGGTTTCCTTCCAGAATGGTCCTGTATGTGGCTCCATCCATCTTCCCATCAATTTTAACCATCTCCCCTGTCCCTGCTGAAGAAAAGCAGGCCCAAACCATGATGCTGCCACCACCATGTTTGACAGTGGGGATGGTGTGTTCAGGGTGATGAGCTGTGTTGCTTTTACACCAAACATAACGTTTTGCACTGTTGCCAAAAAGTTCGATTTTGGTTTCATCTGACCAGAGCACCTTCTTCCACATGTTTGGTGTGTCTCCCAGGTGACTTGTGGCAAACTTTAAACGACACTTTTTATGGATATCTTTAAGAAATGGCTTTCTTCTTGCCACTCTTCCATAAAAGCCAGATTTGTGCAGTATACGACTGATTGTTGTCCTATGGACAGAGTCTCCCACCTCAGCTGTAGATCTCTGCAGTTCATCCAGAGTGATCATGGGCCTCTTGGCTGCATCTCTGATCAGTCTTCTCCTTGTATGAGCTGAAAGTTTAGAGGGACGGCCAGGTCTTGGTAGATTTGCAGTGGTCTGATACTCCTTCCATTTCAATATTATCGCTTGCACAGTGCTCCTTGGGATGTTTAAAGCTTGGGAAATCTTTTTGTATCCAAATCCGGCTTTAAACTTCTCCACAACAGTATCTCGGACCTGCCTGGTGTGTTCCTTGTTCTTCATGATGCTCTCTGCGCTTTAAACGGACCTCTGAGACTATCACAGTGCAGGTGCATTTATACGGAGACTTGATTACACACAGGTGGATTCTATTTATCATCATTAGTCATTTAGGTCAACATTGGATCATTCAGAGATCCTCACTGAACTTCTGGAGAGAGTTTGCTGCACTGAAAGTAAAGGGGCTGAATAATTTTGCACGCCCAATTATTCAGTTTTTTATTTGTTAAAAAAGTTTGAAATATCCAATAAATTTCGTTCCACTTCATGATTGTGTCCCACTTGTTGTTGATTCTTCACAAAAAATTACAGTTTTATATCTTTATGTTTGAAGCCTGAAATGTGGCAAAAGGTCGCAAAGTTCAAGGGGGCCGAATACTTTCACAAGGCACTGTAGAGATGAAAGTATTTTGATTGCAGAAAAATCTGTAGTGATTGGTGAATAATCAATTATCAGTTGTGTACCGCACTAATATGCACGACTATACCCACACAACTGAGCTCAGTCTCCGTGTATGCGTGTCCACAGCCTTGTCTTTAAAATGTAGGTGTAAACCTTCCTTTGTCTTTGTGTGTGCATGTGTGTGTTTTATCTCAGCAGGCACCACGTTGCTCCCTGCCCGTTACAGCATTAATGCTCAACCTTGACCAAGGTTAATCTGTCACTCTTGCTGTATATTTGCATTCATTCTTATCTGCACCTCACC